TGCCATACAGCTTTAATGGTCCTATAACTGGATGCCACCCATCTAGTGCTGAGAATTCTCCCTATGTTCAGACACTGTAATGCAAGGTCCTCACAACATTCAGTGAGCTCGTGGTGGTTTTTGGCAGATGCATGATAGAGACTGTATATTTTGTCAAAGAAAAACTGGAAATCATTCATCCCTGCAATTTCCTCAACAGCATCTCCAACACTCAACTCAAGACGATGGTTCATGCAGTGCCACACCATCACGTTGGGAAACTTTTCAACAAGTTTGGTTGCAACACCTGATTTACTTCCAAGCATGACGGACGCTCCGTCTGAAGCAAAGCAAACAAAGCGCTCCTTCATAATAGCTTCAGAGAAGCCATGGTGTGACAGGTTATTCATCAGAGCTTGATAAATTCCATCTGCATTGGTAGCAGAAAGCTCAACTAGATCCAAGAAGAATGTTAGTGGCTCTTCACTCATCCCTAGGCTTGCTCTAATATAAATGATCAAAACTGATTTTTTACTGTCAGTTGTAGATTCATCTATCAGAACAGAACATTTTGTTTCACTTTGAAGGACTACTCTCTTTCTCATTTCACTTCCTATGTGTCGGCTGATTGTTGCACAGGAATAGTCTGAATGTAAAGTTCTTCCCATGTCAAGTCCATTCATGACTTGCAGATCAATATCAGTTGGTAGATAGATTGTGAAAGGCCTTGCGGATTTCACAATCTTGTAAACTGTGCGAAATACTCGATCAGTAGTTAAGAAGTGATCCCTCTGCATATCTGAAGTCAACGTTTCCATTATTTTTTCTTTTGCCGTTTCCATGGTTTTCTCAGCTGCTTGATGATAGTCTGACATTCTATGCTTGTGTATCTTCTTCCGAAGAGACTGCAGCGGTGCAGCTCTCGTTGCACCATAGGCTGTTACTTTAACTTTAGACCACTCGTCAGCAATATGCACCTGGCTCCCACCAGCTTGGCCCAACTGCTTTTATCTTCTGGCAAGTTAGACAACCAAGTTTTTGGTTTTGGCATATTAGCCATGGGTATTGCTTAGTTTTCTCTCTTAACATGTTAGATGTCCAGCATTCAGGGATATCTTGATCATTATTGCTCTCTCCCTGGTAACTTGGGCCATCAGAATCTGGGATGCTTGTTTCTTCTGCACTATCTTCTTCAGCACTATCTTGCCCTGCTGCTGCTTCCCCCTTTCTTTTTCTTTCCACTACAAAAACAACAAACAATAGTAAAACTAATTTGCCTCTTGTCCACTGACATAATGAGCTGTATTAGGCCAATTGAAAAATAACAGTGTCTTAACCCAACATGTAGAATTAAGAATGATCAAACCTGTTCCTCCTCGAGCTCTTCGCTCATGCTGTGTCATGTCCTGCTTCCTGGCCTGCTTCCTGGCCATGGTTGTCCTCTATGGGAGGAAAACAAGGTCATTATGGTTTTGATACAATGACTGAGAAGACTTCTTATGCAAACAGGTGACATTACTCTTCTAGTTGATTTTTAAGAAAACTACATATTTTCATTAAAATGCCCAACATTCAAGTTTGGATATAATAGTTTTGGGGCTGAAAAAGGAGTTTCTCACCTTCCTTTTAATATCACTATTTAAATATTCATATAACAAAATATTCTGTGAGTCTCCAGAGATTAATAGAAATGCCCAAAAATGCACTGGGAAAGAGTTAATTATCTTATAATTAATAGTTATCAAACCTTCAATTATGTTAGCTTCTGAATTCTCACTCCCAACTCGGCCTATGTTGACGTTATGTCAGTGTCCCTTGTCGTGTTCCTCTTTTTAACATGATTAGCTGACGTTAATGCTAGCCTAGTTAGCTAATGAAGTTCAAGTACTCATCTTTTAGCTAGCTAGCTAGCATTAGTTATCTAGCTAGCTAACACGAGAGAAAAACGTAGCTAAACTAAGTTGTTATTGCTGCTTATGTCCATATATTCCGCCTTTGGTGACTAAAGTAATGAGTAATGTAACTGATGTACTTATATGATTCTGTTTTCTTCAAGGTTGTGTCTTCCTGGTCGAATGTACTTATTGTAAGTCGCTTTGGATAAAAGCGTCAGCTAAATGCAATGTAATGTAATGTAATGTAATGTAATGACTAAGATTACTGACTCTCGACTTACCTGAAATGTTATTTTTAGTCTTTTTAAATATGAAGTCCCTCAGATCGCGTTGTCTTCCTGGTCGCTTGGCCATTGTGATGACCGTTACCTGCGCTAGTGCTGCTATGCAGCTTCTGGCATCAATCAAACAGGCGCATCACGGCGCTCTGGCGCCCTCTAGGGCACTCGCATAGCATAGCGTCAGTGACTTCGTAAAAATGTCATTGCATGTGTGCGTGCTCCCTCGCCCACAGTATTTTACTCAATATGCGCAAAATTAATGTTGAAATAGCAGTAATACCAGTGCCAAGTTCATTGATAAAATTACATAAGGGATGGAAAGGGGGGATGGCAGTTTTAGAAGGGGGATGATTTTTGACCGTTTTTATTTCAGGGGGGATGCCATCCCCCCTCATCCCCATTCAACTCGAGTACTGGATATAAGCATGGAAAACAAACAAACACGGCCGAGTTCAATTTATGTCCCCCGGATGAACTGAGCAGGCAGAGTCCCTGCTGCTAGCAGAGAGACAGTAAGCACTGGACAGAGCTGTCACTCAATGTGACCACGCCCTAATTTATGCATAACTTTAAGACTAAGACTTTAAGAATATTAATTAAACAGATGAGTTGAGAAAAAATTCACCCCCCAATCCATAGTCATGAAGGGGGGATCTAACTATACAGAGAATATGGTTTTTTGAACAACGATGTAAACATGTTTATTTCTGCTTTAAAGTTGGGCATTTTAACATGGGGGTCTATGGAAATTGCTCCCTTCTGCAGACTGCTCCTACTGGCCACTAGATGAACTGCAATTTGAGGCACTTCCTTATTTGCCTCCCTGCTCTGCCCCAGAGTTTGCCGCTTGGTTACAATGTGCAATGTGCATTTAGGGCAGTACTGACAGTATTAGGATGAACAATATATTGTTAACATTGTGTGCATTATGTAATGTTTAGGGCATTTTTGAGCTGTTGTAATGCGTTTGCACCTGCCGGCCACCATACATATATAACGCTGCTTAAATCCCACCAATCAAACCACCATACGTTTTTTTTTTTTAAATGCGAACAAATCTGTAAATGCAGAAAAAGGAATGATTCCGTTTTAATCCAGTACACACCAATGTACATTAGTAATCTTTTTAAAAGAGAACCCATCTGCCGTGACATTGTTACCGCAATGCCGTGACCCGGATTCGAACCGGGGTTGCTGCGGCCACAACGCAGAGTACTAACCACTATACGATCACGGCGAGCTACGATGGGCTGATGGCAATGATCCGCCAAAAACGGAATCATAGTCGTGGTGCAGCCAGAAGGCTCCATAAGTAGGTCTCATGTAAACGGGGTAAGATTAGCATTAAAGTCCATTTAACATCGAAATATATTGCTTTTATTAAAGTAATGACAATGAAAACGTTCACAAATCTACCGAGTAAAGTAAAAAGCATCGATTGATTAATAATGGGGATTTAATGCTTTGCTTAAAAGGTTACAGTTATGCAAAAACCCCATGACAACTGTTCTTGGGTGATTTCATGTAAGTGCTTTTATGAGACTTATTTGATTACTGCAAATACAAGTTTTGTTGTAAGAGTAACTTTTTAAAAGTGTGGTCTTCCAGTTACCCTTACTATTGTGTCTCCCTCTGGGGGGCTTTACGGTAAAACAAGGAAGTGCTGTATGTCAAATATTCAGATCGTTGTACCATTCTTTAGAAACATAGTCCACTAAATTAAAAAGGCAGGCCTACTGTAGCAAAAATATGTATATGTGAGATGGCCTTTTGTTAGCAAAATGTAAAGAAGGTCTATAAGAAAGTGTGTAAGAAGCAGGTAAGAAGGCGATATGGTGCAGGGAAAGTATCCTTTTTAGTGTTTTACTATTGTTATGTTTTGGATTAGCCAATTATGGTGTGTAGGACATGTTTCCCGCGGTAGATGTGTGTTAAATCCTGCATGGTGAACACTTAATCTACACATCAGTACAGAAACGTATAAAATCATTATTATTCTGCGGGGAAACAGCCTTGTTTTCAGCGTTGATAAGATGCGTTTTCCAGCCAATACAATGTTTGTATTTCGATGTATTTATTTCTTATCCCATAAAGACAGTTACAAGTAGCTGAACGGCGATTTGGAGTTCTGTCAGATAAATGTAAACAATACATACAATTATGATTTCTTAAAAAGTTATTATTTTAAAGCAGTATAACAAGAATCGACATGTAACGAACGTGTACGCTTTATTTTAGGCTACAGTTCACTACTTGAGAGTAAATATAGTCTGGGTTACATATTTTTACCACTGATAACGCCATGCTTGTTTTTAATGTTTAATATATGTCCATGGAGAAAAAAAGTTCTTATTTCTTACATTCACAAAACATTTCCAACAAAATATTTTTTTAAAATACAGCCCATCTGCCGTGACATTGTTACCGCAATGCCGTGACCCGGATTCGAACCGGGGTTGCTGCGGCCACAACGCAGAGTACTAACCACTATACGATCACGGCGAGCTACGATGAGCTGGCGGGATTCTCAGAGTGAAAACTTGATCTGTTGAACGGGATCTGAGCGGGGCTGCTGCATGACGTAGAGAGGGTGTAATTATTGGGGGGTTTTCTTCCCTTGTACGACTTTTTATTCATCTCTTATTGATTGTAAAACGTGAAAAACACATCGCTTGTACAATTTCATTCAATAATCTAGCCTCGGCCGCCTTTAAAAAAACATATTTTAATCGAGGTGACGTGCAGTATAGCTGGTCTTGTTTGCAAAATAGGGGCCTCTGGTGGACAGACTGCATGGGCAACGTGTGGCGCTTCTTTCATCTGATTGGCTGATTTAGCTGCAGACGTTGCAGAGCTTCCGGTTTTATAAAACAAATCAACGTGCTGGTTACCAAACTCAGACCTCTCAATAAACCAAGCGGATTGTAACTGTTTTGCGCCACAATTACGGTAAAGTGTCACCACAAAACTGTGCATCATGTGGCTATAACTCTTCCATGTACATTTTGGACACTTAGACAGTTGTTATCATGATATTATGCGTTAGTTGTATTAGTTCTGTGTCGACACATCTATGACATTATTCTGCTGTGTCTTCCTATTGTTCAAAACAGCTGAATGCATTTCATTTTAGGTCGAGATATTCCACATCACTACACGACTAAATTTCAAGCAAATTTGTGAAAAAATAAATGTACTTTTAAACTAATTATGTTACATTTGCCAGCATTGCCACTATACAAATATGCAAATACTACTGCAGTTTGTTTTAGACTTACTTGTAAAGCTGCTAACTTAGCCCCCAGTTTACTTTTTGCATTTAATGTCTGTGTAGCTACCCACATTTCACCTTCAGGGCTCAGTGCAATAAAATAAAAAAGTCTAAAGAAATGTCTGCCTCCTATGTTCACAGGCATGGCTCATACTTGTATTCACTGGTTCCGCAAGGGACTCAGGCTGCATGACAACCCAGCTCTGATGGCTGCTCTGAGGGACTGTAAGGAGCTGTACCCTGTGTTCATCCTGGACCCTTACATTTATAACAACACCCTTGTGGGTATCAACCGCTGGAGGTTTCTCATTGGATGCCTCAAAGACCTGGACTGCAGCCTCAGGAAACTCAACTCCAGGTAGAGACAAAAGGGCAACAGTCTCATAAATATTAAAACACATACACTTATTGTTATGTTGTCATATATTGGTGTGTTTGACTCCTTTAGGCTGTTTGTTGTGCGAGGGAAGCCTGAGGAAGTGTTCCCCAAGCTGTTCGAGAAGTGGAAAGTCACAAAATTAACCTATGAGTATGACACAGAGCCCTACAGCCTGAGCCGGGACAAAACGGTGACCACACTGGCCAAAGAACATGGAGTTGAAGTCGTCTACAAAATCTCACACACTATTCATGATATGGACAGGTATTAATCATATTGAAAATGTACACATTTTGGGGAGATTACACATTGTTTCCTTACAGTTTTTACTTCTTAAATGTCTGATTTCAGGTTAGTGTCCTTATATTATTGTCTGTCATGTCTTTATAGGATAATTGAGGAAAACAATGGGAAGGCCCCCCTTACTTATAACCGTTTTCGAACAATATTGAAGACTATAGGTAACCCTAAGAAACCCATCCCTGCACCAGCTATCGAAGACACTAAAGGTACTACGATCTACAGTGTGTCATGCCAGTGAATTGTTATAATGTCTTCATAGAAATAAACAGTAAACCAGTAAATGTAAGCATTCAAAAACATTTAAAGCTAACATACAGCTGTTAAACTTGAGCAGTGGTTGATTAAAATATAATTTGTCTTGTCACAGATGTGAAGACGCCTTGTTCAGAAAACCATGACAAGAATGATGGGATACCTACTCTGGAGGATCTCGGTCATGACACCACAACTCTGGGAGAGGAGAAGTTCCCAGGAGGAGAACAGGAGGCTCTGAGGAGATTAGACGAAAACATGGCAAGAAAGGTAATTTAGCTTGAATAATTATTATTTCGCTGTACACAACTGAAAGGCTTTTGACACTGAGACTCTCTACTGAGTATAACATGTTCATTTTAGAGAGTATTTTACACTTGATTAAAGTCTTTTTCAGAAATAAATATTATGACAACAACCTATATAGCATCTGTAGAGTTGTTTAGGGCTCCTTTTCAGTGGGGAAAGTACTGAGATCCTTTACTTAAGTAAAAGTACTTCTACCACAGTTTAACTTGCAAGTAAAAGTCCTGAGTTGAAAATGTTAGTTTAGTATTATCAGGTTATTGTACTCAAGTATAAGTTATCAAATTACTTGAGTAAATGTTCTTAGTTAAATTTCACCACCGCTCCTTTTACAGAAAACTGTGTCAAAGAATGTTAATGGTTTGTAATGTTGTTAAATCTTATGTTGATTTATATTATATTATATTTATTTAAATTGAATAACATGTTCTTGTGAGACTCTTTGGACAGTTTTCCTGAATGACATTTTCAACCTTTTTAGCTCCAAAACGTTGTATGTTTGTATGATTCATTGTTAATACAATCCTTTATCAACATAAGGGGAATACTGGTTGCATTCATATACTTTTTAAATAAATATATAACATAAAGATTTATATTTAACAATAACTAATTACCCTGGGAATGAAAATGTACATGTCTCCTCTTTGATATATTAGCTCCAGCTGTTTTCTTACTCCAGGATTGGGTGTGTAAGTTTGAGAAGCCGCAGACTTCTCCAAACTCTCTGAGCCCCAGCACCACGGTCCTCAGTCCATACGTCACGTTTGGCTGCCTGTCTGCACGCACCTTCTGGTGGAGGGTGACAGAAGTCTATCAGGGGGTGAGTGTCACCATGGAGGTAGAGTTTTTGTAGGCAGTATGCTACTGAATGAGTAAGGCTGTGCAACTGAAGGTTTCTTACATTTAAACAAATTAGCAAGATGCTACGCTGTACCAGAACATGTGTTACAACAAGTTTAAGTATTGATGCATGGCCCTAATTTTGACATTTAAAAGTAAAATGAGTCCGACTGTTATGTATATGTGTTATTTGCAGAAGAAGCACTCGGAGCCTCCAGTTTCCCTGCATGGCCAGCTGCTGTGGAGAGAGTTTTACTACGCCGCTGGTGTGGGTATCCCTAACTTTGACAAGATGGAGGGCAACCCCGTATGTACCCAGGTGGATTGGGACACAAACCATGAATACCTTGCTGCATGGAGAGAGGTAATAAGACTATTTAAATGGACATGAATGAAAAATGGGAAATTATATTGAAAGAACAGTTTTCATGATAATTCAGAAGCATAGCTTATTTCCTGGATCATCAATGTTTCCTGGGTGCTCTGTATGTCCTGTAAGGCTCGGACTGGTCTCCCTTTCATTGACGCCATCATGACTCAGCTGAGGCAAGAGGGCTGGATCCACCACCTGGCCAGACATGCTGTCGCCTGTTTTCTCACCAGGGGAGACTTGTGGATCAACTGGGAAGAAGGGCAGAAGGTGTGTAAATATTTAAAGTCTCCACTTCTTCTGTATGTTAAATAATGCACGGAGCTCACAATCCATAGAGTCCTGTGTTACCATGTGCAGTTCACAAAATAACCTCACTATATTTTCTGATGAAATGTATTTTCACAATATATACCAGACTAACCTTTTAGATATGATATAAAGCTGTTTGGCACTGCAACATACTGCAAAGTACAGATATAAAGATTAATACTTGAAATCATCAATCTTTGTTTATCATATACAGGATTTTATCATTATCAGATTAGGTTTTCTTGCCTATTTAAAAACGTTACACATCAAAGTCTGTTTACAGTGTTGGGACTGCTGCATGACTATACAACTATGTAGGGTCGGTTTTATGGGGTTCATTGTGTGTCTTTATTATGCAATCAATACATAGATTCGACAGCAAACCTATCGACACTGCAATTAAAATAAAATGTTTTATTCCAAGGTAAATACATGTGTTTTTAAAAACATATTAATTCATATTTTTCAAAGTGCAATGCTAAATCTGTTGAGTTTATCTTTTCACATTTTGTTCACGGCTCCTGAAGGTGTTTGAGTATCTTTTATTGCATGGCGACTGGGCCCTGAATGCTGGAAACTGGCAGTGGCTCTCAGCGAGTGCCTTCTTCCACCAGTACTTCAGAGTTTACTCCCCTGTCGCATTTGGCAAGAAGACAGACAAAAATGGAGATTACATCAAGTAAGATCACAAAACCAAACAAACTTAAATTGTCACAAATAATAGTGATTCATATGAAATAATTGTACCTTCCCTCTACTTGATAGAAAGTACCTTCCTCTTCTGAAGAAGTTCCCAGCCCAGTATATCTATGAGCCTTGGAAGGCTCCGCGCAGTGTCCAGCAGGCAGCAGGTTGCATTGTGGGTAAAGACTACCCACAACCTATTGTACAGCATGAAGTGATCAGCAAGAAGAACATCCAGAGGATGAAGTTAGCTTATGCTAAGAGATCCGCAGAGTCTGCCGAATCACCAAACCAATCACCCAGCAAAAAGCAAGGTACTGCAAGAAATGTGTACTTGTCTCAGGGGTTTCACTCTTTAGCCGTTAGTCATGTTTACATAATGTCCTGTCTCTTCAATTCTTCTCTTTATTCTTTTCTTCTAGGTGTCAAGCGAAAGGCTAAATCCGTCATTGACATGCTGCAAAAGAAAGACAAAAAATAATAATGGTACACAAAATAAACTATAGTTATACCGCATTGTGTGGGCTGAAAGCTTGGGACACTTTTTTGTGTATACATGTAACAGATGTAAATATGCAGTGGGGTTTATTGAATTTTTTCTGTATAATCACACAAATTCTGTGTTTTATATTATTTTATTCTGTGTTTTATATTATTTTATTCTGTGTTCTTCATTTTATTGAATGATAAATACCTGGCAAGGTCGGAGATCAGTGGGCGGAACCTCTGAAGTGTGGTCGCTGTGCTCAGGAGTTTTTTGTTGTGAGGACTTTCCCCCCTATATATTGTGTCCCTCACGTTTCCTCTGCCTTTTCGTAAAATGTTCCATGTGAGAGGAGTCATCGTGAGGAATTGATGTAAAACTGATCGTTTTTTATCTGTTGTCAGTCATTAAACAGAGATCGTCTCAACTTTACGCTGGCTCGGGTCTCATCCATTATCAACACAATGCAGAGACCGCTTAACCACACCGGTTACATACAGACAGTGTAATTTGTCTGTTTCTTCTCCTTTAACTTGTTACTGTTTTATATTGTATCTATGCCAATATTTGTAAAAAGTGAGTGAAAGGGTATACCAAAAAAAAATATTTCTTGCATGGATATTGAGGTGAAATGTATAAGGATTTATGGTCTCATCTTGTATGAAGACTACAGATTTTTAAAGAAATCGGGTTGTATCTTCAGCACCTTAAAGATTGAGTCTTTCTTTTTTTATGGTTCGTTTTTTTATATGCAATATAAATAAATTCATACAAAATATAGTTTGTCACAATTGTTGTGATTTTTTTCAATGGCCCTGTTTACAGCTTAATATGATCAGTTTCTCTGTCATCACTTAACGTTCATGTTCATCCGTTTTTCCTGCAATATAGTGAACATTGAAAACACACCTCTTCTCTTTTTTATTATAGCAGCGAATGGCAGAATTCAACCCTAGCCAGTACACTTGTGGTATTTTGGAGCTCTCACTATTACCACTAGAGGACACTATAACTCCACCGCTGATTGTTTTTTTTACTTTAGGTAGTACAACTGTATATCATTCATTTAGTGAACTGGTCAATTCGAAGTGACTTAAAAAATATTAGATAATCAGCCACTAAGCCACAGGGGTCAGATCAACACTGTGCAACAATTATATGAAATGCCTGTAAGAAAACTTATCTTTGCAACATTTTGCATATTAAATAATTTCTAGATTTAATTATTATCTCCTTTAGGTGAAGTAACATTTTATTTAAGAGTGCATTGATTTAAATTAAAACACATTTTTATGTATTCCTAAAGTGTGTGTGTGTGTGTGTGTGTGTGTGTGTGTGTGTGTGTGTGTGTGTGGCACGGCACGGCACGGCACGGCACACACAGCTGTCCTCGGAGGTTAAGTCGTCTCTTGTTTCTGCTTCCTTGGAGCTGACACTCGTATGAATATCCAGAAGATGATGTCACAGCCTCAGCAGCGGGCCAGACGGCCGTACAAAGCCAAGCTCAGTTTCCACAGAGACCTGTCAAACATCAAAACAAGCTGCTGTCCAACTGGCATGCTTGTGGGGGTACACTTGGCACCGGGTCACCCTGCCAATAAACTCCCAAATAACAGGTCTGAACAGAAATCAACATCCCATCAATTATATATTGTTATTTGATATTTTTCAGGGACAATAATCGTAAAGTCAGTATACTATTAAGCATTCTATTTGTGGTGCTATAAACATGTTAAGTTGTCCCAAGCCCCAGAAAAATGTATTTATATGATCAAAATCCCTTTTATATGTCCCTCCACCGCAGTTTGCCCACCGCTGTGCCCCTCCGTGTTGACACCTCACCTCTCACACCATCTTGGATCTCCGTACCTTAATATCCCAGTTGGATTTGAACAGCATGTTCCCAGGCAGCTGCCGTTTCATGGAGCTTAATTTATTTCAGGAGTTTATCTGCTTCACGAGCAGCAATATCCAACAGATAATTCACACTTTCTACAATACCAAGTTTGCTAGATTGGAGAGAAAAATCCATCTGTCAATGTTTACAAACCTTTGGCCTTGACAACATGGCAGGTTCATTAGAAGCATTCATTAACACATAATGCAGGATTAGCCAACAGAACACACTCAGTATTGGCTACTGCTCACTCAATTAGTTTGTCACCTCATAAAGCATTTTCTGAAGATCACCACGACAGCAGATAGGACTGGATATCAGTATTTGATACCTCAAAGTATCGACCAAAATAAACCATCACAAAGTATTATTGGAACTTCTGCAGTCAAGGGAAACCTGCATATGATCCTTTTTGTATCCAGGTCTAAAAAGAAGTCTGTATTTGGATGGATTTGCTCACTGCCAATCACTGAGCGTTTTAAGATGTATTGCTTCATTGGCTCATTGTAGCAGTAGATACACATTTTTTGAATATATACTACATAAACCTTCATTTTATAGTTTTGTATACTTAATATTTTCATAATTTCAACACTTGGGGAGGAGTGGAGGTGGCAATTCTCAAGGTATCGAATGAAGAAGGCTACTCTATTGTAAACTGAAACTGGTTTTGGTATCAGTATCATAATGTTTAAAACTACCCAGACACTAGTGGACATGTCCATCATTTCCAATTCGATTTTATGCTTGAATGTCAGCCCTGAAACAGCTCATTACTGGAAACACGACTGTTTTGAGGCCACTTTACCTGGTGATGAGTTACATTCAGCGCCTGATCATGACAACAATTATGCTACTGTTTAATTGCACAGAAACATTGAACTACATTGACATTCATTTTGGCTGACATTGTGCGTGAGTCAAGGACATAATGTTTTTTGATGGAGGCTGAACGCAGGTGTTCTCTGAATCAGCCTGATTTATGAAAAAACACATGTTTCTAATTTAGCCGTAGAATGACATTATAAATGGAGATAGTGAGAGGGACAAGAGGATGTTGTGAGTGAAGGTTCATGAGCACATGCTGAAAGGTCACTATTTATTAGACTTCTATGGAGCTGATAAATAAATGCCGCAGTGAAGCGCTGACAGTTGTCCAAACTGCTTCATACCTTTCGGTCTGTCCCTATCTCCTCTCCGACACACACGCACGCACACACACACACACACACACACACACACACACACACACACACACACACACACACACACACACACACACAACAACACAGTACACACACAACACACTACACACACACACACACAGACAGACACCACACACACACACACACACACAGACACACCACCCTCGCTTCACACTTCCTCAACAACAGGACTGGGCTTATCCATTACCACTCAGGCTCTAAAGACTGATTACAACAATTTACATTTGCCCACCAGTGACACCCTTCAATTTCTGGCAGTGAACAATTATGTTGGCAAAAGACGGATAATGGTATCAACAAAGCCAGAGGTAGTGATCTCAGTGAGCATCATCTGTAGCCTCATAAATCTGCCAGACTAAGCCACAACAGGAGTTTAAAAGGCTCTATACATAGCTAGGCATGAGGCAATGGGCAACCCACTGTTGAAATCTTGCCGCCCAAAGGCCCCGGGTGAATTCAGATTTGGACATGAATCGTTGAATCATTGACATAATTATTTATTTTAGGGAAAGGGAGCATGAAATGACATGGTTGGCAAACATTTGTGGAAACAAAACTTTATGGAAAAGCCACATTTTGTCTATCAATTCAGATTACTTTATTGTGCATTATGTTTGCAGTTGAAATGTCTCTTCGCTCAACATAGACATCAACTGCATCTTACAATAACATCTTAAAGTGACCAAGTGACAATAATAAAGCTCATAAGAGGTTTGTTCTTCAACTGGCACATACACTGAACAAAAAATATAAACGCAACACTGTTGTTTTTGCTCCCATTTTTCATGAGATGAACTCAAAGATCTAAAACATTTTCTATATACACAAAATAACCATTTCTCTCAAATATTGTTCAAAAATCTGAAAAAATCTGTGATAGTGAGCACTTCTCCTTTGCCGAGATAATCCATCCCACCTCACAGGTGTGGCATATCAAGATGCTGATTAGACAGCATGATTATTGCACAGGTGTGCCTTAGGCTGGCCACAATAAAAGGCCACTCTGTAACGTGCAGTTTTGCTTTATTGGGGGGGTCCGAAAACCAGGCAGTATCTGGTGTGAGGGGTAGGGGTAGGGTTAAGGGTAGGGTAGGGTTAGGGTTAGGGTAATGTTGTGAATCGAGTGGCCCATGGTGGTGGTGGGGTTATGGTATGGGAAGGCGTATGTAATGGACGACGAACACAGGCCACTCGATTCACAACATTACCCTAACCCTAACCCTACCCCTAACCCTACCCCTCACACCAGATACTGCCTGGTTTTCGGACCCCCCCAGACCCCCCCAATAAAGCAAAACTGCACGTTTCAGAGTGTACTTTTATTGTGGCTATAAGGAGTGAGTGGAGTGAAGGGGGCAATGAGTCCCAACGGGCCTATTTAAAGAGACTTTGATTTGAAATGGTCACAGCTGATAGAAAACATTTTCTTGGCTATTTGTATTTCCAGTATGTGTCCTAATGGAAACAAATGAGGAATATTTTATTTAAATTTTCTTGTTTTAGTTGTTTATTGAGATTCTGCCAACGTAATTGCAAATGTTCTGTAATCTCCGAAATATGGCTCAGCATTAGGAAACCCCTCCGCGGGAGAGCCACATGCTTAAGGAGGATTCACTGACGTATAGTCACATGACAGAACCGCCCTCTGTCCTGTTTCCACACCCTGCTGTGCCTTGATCTTTCTGTACACACCCCGTCCAGAACACCCTGACCCTGCTGAGGCAACTGTGTTCCGCACACACACACACACACACACACACACACACACACACACACACACACACACACACACACACACACACACACACACACACACACACACACACACACACACACACACACACACACACACACACACACGCACACACATACACACGTCTATCACTGCACTTGGCATGTGTGTGTGGGTGTGTTTATGAGATCATGTCAATGAATCCATCCATTTAAATGCCCTACTGTGTGTCCATGTTTGGGATTTAAAGGTCCCTCATTTATAAATCAGGCCTATTTGGTAAGAAATGTTCTCTTTTAAAACTTGTATAAGTTCTCCAGGTTGCAAAGAGATATTCTTCAACATAAACATTAGGCTACGCCCACACCAATGTCATTAGAGGACATAAATATTCTCTTGTTTTGAAATAAAATTCTTCATTTAATCTTGGTCGTAAAGTTGAGTTTGTCCCCTCCTGGCAAGAAAAGTGGAAAGAGTGGGGAGCTTCTAAGGATCGCGATGGATGGAACAAAACATCTAAATAGCTAAACAGAAGTCACATCGGCATGTGTAACATGAGGAGTGTGTGTAACTTGATATCTCTGAACGATTTAGGGGAAACACACTCAGGAAGTCCTAATTTATGCTAGTAGAGTAATTTACTATCAGTTCAAAGAGGAGTGTTTGCAGTTTGTTTACCATGCATGAAAAAGGTGATAATAAATGTGAATTCTGAGGATTTTAGGTCTTATTTGACTTTTCACAGAATTTTGATTTCTTGGACAAGAAAATAAAAATGTAGCTAATTAAATTGCTAATCATTATTACGTGAATGTGTCTGTGAAACACTGTATGTGCAAGTGTGTGTGTGTGTGTGT